TGTAATTTTAGAAATCTTTAAATTTACTTATAAAAAGATTTATTTTATTTTATTTTTTAATGTGTGGCTGTTTTGTCAGCATGCATGTCTGTGTGCTACATATATGCAGTTCCCACAGAGGCCAGAAGAGGGCGTTACAGATGGTTGTGAGCCACAAGGTGGTGCCGTGACTTGAACCCAGGTCCTTTGGAAATGTAGTCAGTGCTCCTAACCATCGAGCCATTTCCCAGCCCCTTGAATTTACTTTCCACTGCAGGTGTTTGTCAAGTTCTGTTTCACAAAAAAAATCTCTGACTCTTGTGTCATAGCCTGGTGTGTGGTACATGTGGAGAATCCCATCCCTGTATCCAGTGGGTCCCCGTATCTCATCCACTGAAAGCAGCTTCCTGAAGTATCTAGATGCCATATTTGATAGAATTTTATTTTTAATTTTAATTTTGTTTACCTTTGCAAGTGTGTTCTAACCATACTCTTCCTTGTGTGGTTTTTGCCCTCACAAACTGTGACCCCTGGAAGTCCATTCATGTATAACTTTTACTTATCTCTATTGGATTTCACTGAGTCCTTTACTACCTCTCTTCCGGGATGAGTTGATATCTCTCTGATTAAGTGGAATTAGAGAGTCCTGCCTTGTTGAGGTTTGTGACAGGCAGAAAGCATTCCATTCAAGATAGAGAGTCTGAGTGGGGTAGATTAAGTAAGACATGGAAACAATTAAACAAAAAGCCTGCTTGTAGTTTATCTGTTCCAAAATTGCTTTAATAATCACCTTTCACAACCTCGTCATTCTCACATTTATATAAGCTATTATAACATCATGTATTTGATTGAAAGCAGAGCTGCATAGAAGTCTTGGGCAGTAGCAGTGGAAAGCTGGGTTGTCTGACCATAGGGCACAGTCAATGCCTCACAACTCCTTTGCTGCCTCTAGAATTACAAGCAACACCCTTGGGAGGAAGATAAGCCTCGTGTACAGTGTAAAATGTAAACTCTGGTGTCTTTTCGGGTGCCCAGAATAACTTTACAGGAGCAGTTTTAGGGTATTTATGGCAGTGTGTGTATTTTTCATTAATTACACTCTATTTCCTGCAGCTACCCTGCCTTTTCCAAGCCCGCATTCTGTTAGTAGAAGCAGTAATGAGCAGTATGTATTCATTACTTGTTAGCAGGAAGCACGATTCTCTATGGCATTCCTTCTGCCAAATTGTATTAATCATATTCAGATTATATAAGAATATTATAAAGTTTGCGCCATTCATATCACAGAGTATTCTCAGTGTGGCATTTATGTGCCAGATCTGGATCTTAAATTTATTTTTCCTGCGATGTTTGTTCTGCATAATCATCGTTTTGTTGACTTTCAATTTCCTTCAAGCAGAGAAGAAATTTGAAAATCAAATATTTAACCATTTATCCTCTACTAAATTTTTTTTCTGAAAAAAAAAAACCATTTCATTAATTGTTTAGTTCTGTTTTCTCTGTGGCATAGTTTCAAATGTTGGATTTGGGAGATATTTGAAAGAATAAGGGCCCCCTGTACCCTGACTTGTATGAGTCACCCGTGTGCTGTGGCTGCCGCAGCCATGAAGGTAATCGTAGTTCACTGTGAACAGAAGAACAGCATTCCAAACGTAGGCAGACGCAGTTTCATTATACCGTTTCATTATGTGTTCACAGTGTACGTCTCACTGAGTTATCACGTGTGTTTCTGGTTACCTGGTGTTTTTTTTTCTTTCATTCTGTTGCTGTGACAAATACCATGACCAAAAGCATCTTAGGGGAGGAGAGGGTTTGTTTGGCTTACAATTCCAGGTAGCAGGTCATCCATTGTTAAGGGAAGTCAGGACAGGAACTTGAAGCAGAAACCTTGGAGGAAGGTTGTTTAGCTCATGTTTCCTTATACAGCCCAGGGCCATTTGCCCAGGAGAGGGCTGGACCACAGTGGGCTGGACCCTCCTACATCAGTTAACAATCAAAACAATGCCTCACAGACCAGTCCGCTCTGGGCAGTCCCTCAGTTAAGGCTCCCTTCTCAGGTGACTCCAGTTAAAACTGACTCAACTCAGACACCTTGATTGTGTACGTGTGTATGTGTGTGTGTGTGTGTGTGTGTGTGTGTGTGTGTGTGTGTGTGTGTGTGTGTATGTATTTTGCCCTTCACTTATGTGCCTGGTCATTGGCACACATTTGAAAATAACTGATCACATTAATAATACAAAGGAAAAACTACCTGATCCATATTATTTCCTAAAGTCGTGAGCCATGACTTAAATGAAATAATTTTTTTTTTAACTTGTTAGGCATGGTAACACACACTTTTAATCCCAGCACCCAGGAAACAGTGGCAGGTGGATCTTGTGAGCTCAAGGCCAACCTATGGACATAGCAAATTCTTGGCTAGCCAAAGCTACATACTGTCTCCATTTTTTTCCTCTAATTTTCACTATTATCGGTGTATATATGTATGATGGGGGTATTGTGTTAACCTTTCCTGGGGAGACATGTTACTGTCCAGTATGTATGATGGGAGTATTGTGTTAACTTTTCCTGGGGAGACAAGTTACTGTCCAGTCACCCCACCTGGGCACCAAAGGCAGACAAAATAGGACCTCATCCAAGTTCAGTCTGGTGACCAATGAACTTCTGAACTTTTTTTTTTTTTTTTTTTTGGTTTTTCAAGACAGGGTTTCTCTGTGTAGCTTTGCGCCTTTCCTGGAACTCGCTTTGGAGACCAGGCTGGCCTCGAACTCACAGAGATCCGCCTGGCTCTGCCTCCCGAGTGCTGGGATTAAAGGCGTGCGCCACTACCGCCCGGCCCAGAACTTCTGAACTTTTGTACAGCTGGGGCAAGGTTTCCTTACAGTCCTGGGTGACACCGAGGCCCTGCATCACCATAAGGCCTACTCCAGCATGGTTGGGGAGCCTCATGGACACTACCTCATGGAATCCTGTTTAGTAACTTTCCACTTCATATGTAGTTTAGCATCTCCCAAGAGCACTTGCACCCAGAGCTGGGGGAAGTGATAGTTGAAATCCCAGGCAGGGTTTCCTGACACTAGGGAATGTCAGTAGCTCCATGACCATGACCAAAGACCTGGCTTCCACGGTATTGCTCTGCTCTGATTGGTGGCTAAGGACACCTTCCAAATGGAATCTTTTTGCAAGGAGGTATGAGCTGCCATACAGCAGGGAAGCGAGGTCTTTGTGGAAGTCAGGAGACTTCCCCAGAGTCATTCTCTCCTTCCATCAGAAGTTCCAGGGATTAAACTCAGGCTTGGGCAGCAAGGAGCTTACCTCTATACCATCTTGCTTGCCTCTGATTTTAATTTTTTTTAATGGCTTCATTTAATATATACACTGTATTAACATTAAATCATACTATAATTTATATAACATGTTATTTTAATATATAAATATATTTTTGCTTATGTGCATGAATGTTTTGCGTAGATGTATGTCTGTTTGTACACCTTGTACATGCCTAGTGCCTTACAGAGGTCAGAAGAGGTATTAGAAATGAATAATTTTGGTCTCGCTCTCAGAGTCACACAAAGAAACATGAGAACAAAGCAAAAGTAACCTGGCTATGCAATTTCTGTTTGTACAAAGGCGCATCATCACCAAGACCGGGCTAGCAAGCATGCTCACCTAGATGGCCGCGGTATCTTTTTTCTCTAACATAGGAGGGCATTTGGCTGTTCCTCACTGTGGAAGGATTCAACCTCACAGTCCACTTTCAACGTAGAAGCAGTTCCATGAAGCTTGTATAGTTTCACAGAACAGAGAAAGTCATAAATCAAGGCAAGTTTAGAATACATTGGTGGGTACGCAGAGAGGCAGGTACATGAGATGAGGGAACTGTTCTCTAGGTGTAGATGCTGACTGATGACATTCTTAGCTTTAGCATTGGTAGACGCCAGTGGTCCGCAAAGTCAACAAGTTCTAATTTATTTATTATCACGAGGTTTTAGTTCAGATACAGAGTGGAAAAGGCATGACTGTCCCAGAAGACTAACACTGGCCCAGGACAAAGTAATGTGCCTCGGAACCTGCTAACTCCCAGCCTCTCTGGAGTTCCGAAGCTCCAGTGGGTCCATCAGTCTCTGCAGACATGGAGGCTCTTCCCAGGAGTTTCTCATTCACAGCCAGACACAGCTTCTTTCGAGGGATTTCCATTCTCAGGGAGGAGGGGAGAGAAGAGAAGCAGGCACGTGGCCATTAGACCTGTTTCTCACAGAGGGTGTCGATTCCCCTGGAACTGGAGTTGTGGATGGTTGTGAGCCACCATGGAGATGATGGGGATTGAACCTTTGTCCTCTGTCATTAACCTGCGGGCCATCTCTCTAGTCCTGAGAGCATCATTTTAGAAGTTGAAAACCAGCTGGATAACACAAAACAATCAGAATACTGTTATTTGTATTAATAGTCAGAGGGTTGTAAAGACGACTTTCCATGCCCCAGAATAAGCAATAATTTATTGTACCAACTATAAAATAAAATACATAGTTTTGGCCAATTGTTTTTTCTTTTTTCTTAATATACCTGTCACCTTAGAATAGTTTTTAGTGACAATGTAGTTTTTATTAGCAGTTTGAATTTGAAAGTTGGAATTTTTACATTGGATATATATATAAAGATTTATTTTTTATTTTTATTTGTGTGTGTGTGTACATGCCTGAGATATAAAATTTAAGTCATCTTTTAAAATAATTTTCCATGCTTTTATTATTATACTTGAATGAAGCCTTCTGGACATTCACTTGAATAACTAGAGGGTTAAGGCTCCCCCTCTGTCTTTGTGATCATCCCAGTTTTCCTATTCAAGGGAAGGCCAGCTACTTTTCAGTGTTCAGGTGGATTTTTCCATCCATGTGTTGGCATTAGAAAAGAGCTATTGTGTTAGAATGTAATAGTAGGTTGATGACATATAAAGAATCTCAGCTAATGCTGGGCTCACATCAAGGAAACAGGACTCACCTGGATGCTCTCCTCCTCCCTAGGTTTGCGGGTAACCGTGCTGCTGACGTCCCTTCTTGTGGTTCTGGGAACTGGTCTAAGGTGCATACCTGTATCAGACTTAACCCTTAAGAAAAGGTAAGTCCTGTACGACATTTCCATAATTTTAATCTTTTCTTACAAGTGTATTATTTATGCTCGGTTGTAAGTCTCTGGTGATGTGATCTGAGAGGGTCATAGGTGTGGAAGCATTTATTCTTCATACTCTATGTAATGGTTAGCTTAGTTTCTTATCACATGGAAGATGCTGGACTAGTTACAGAAATAAAAAAATACAACAGAACAAGTGAGTCTTCTTGTTACCCAGGAACTGTAATAACCATGAGAAAATGAAAGCATAGTATTCCACAAATAAGTATAACAGGACACACACACACACACACACACACACACACACACACACACACACACTAGAGGCAATGGGGCCGGAGAAATGGACCAGAGGTTAAGAGCACTTGTTGGCTTTTGTAGAGGACCTGGGTTCCGTTCCTAGCACTCACATGGCAGCTCACAACCATCTGTATACCCCAGTTCCAGGGGATCCAACAGGTATGCACATGGTGCTTATATGTGCATGCAGGCAAAACATTCATACAGATAAAGTAAAATAGATGGTAAAGAGGAGATATAAAATTACCCTGTGAGATAAAGAAGTTTTGGTTGTGTGCAGAAGTGTAAATGGTAGAAGATGGAAGATCGCACCTGGCAGGGATGGCTAGAACCAAGTGAGTGGCATTGTGGGGAAGCATGGGAATGTCCAAGCAGCAGTAGGTGCTGCCGGAATGTGGGGCTGGAGTCTTTAAGAGTGTGTGAGCTCCTGTAAGGGTTCAGGGCTTTTTCTGAGCTAGGAAACCACTGGAGGTTTTAAGCTGTGGCGTGTCCTGGTTACAGGCTGCTGTATTGGTGTAGGGAAACTGGAGGTCACAGGCAAAATGGGGAAACAAGTCAGTGAACCAGGGGGGATGGTGGCTGGGTGTTGTGTTCGCAATGATGATGTGACAGAGTGGTGAAATTCTGTTACATTTTGGAGCACTTGCTGCTGGAAATGCAGGTGTGGGCAGGAGGGGGATCCAGGATAACTCTTAGCTTCGAGGGGTTGCAGGAATGGGAAGGATGCATCCGTGCGTGCGAGCAAATGTGAGGACAGGTCTGAGACATCACTAGAGTCTGTTAGCCGAGATGGGGACATGGGAAGGTGGGCTTCAGTGACAAGGGGACTTTCATTTAGAACAGAAATTTAAAGTTTAAAAGTAAATGTTCAGTTTCTGATTTTCAAAATATATTCTCTTACGATACGAAAGCCAGAAAAGATCATGTGGGCTCCTGTGGAAGGCTGTCACTTCCATCCTTCCTGAGTTGGGTCTTCATTGTGTTCGAGATGGTCTTGATTTTTTTTAAACATTACAGGTTTGTTTGTTTTGTTTTTAAGCATCCACAGTGTTAAAATACAATTTCAGTATAACATCATCAAGGCACTCTGAAGAGGTCAGGCAGCCTCTGGCTTTTATCCTGCCGTGGACCACCTATGCTGTTACATCCCACCCTCCTCATCCTTCCCAGTTAGGATTCAAGAAATAGAGTTGGGTCTGCATTTTGGCAGAGAAAGTGGAACAAAAGAGAATAGAAAAGAAGTGTGAATAGCTGGGCTGGAGAGATGGCTCAGCGGTTAAGAGCACTGGCTGTTCTTCCAGAGGACCTGGGTTCAATTCCCAGCACCCATGTGGGAGCTTAAAATTGTAACTTCAGTTCTAGGGGACCTGACACCCTCACACAAGCATTCATGCAGGCAAAACACCAATGCACACACACACAAAAAAAAAAAAAAAAAAAAAAAAAAGAAAAGAAATGTGAATAAAAGTTGGATGGACAGGTAGGAGAAACAGCTCAGAGAGATTGAAACTTTCCTAAAAAGATAGTATAAATTTAATTTTCAGTTTTGCATTCATCTGTAAAGAAAAGTTTTCCCCAGGAATAAGATACTTTGTGTCCATACTGTATTTTCAAGCAGTATTCACAGTACACAATGCAGCTGTCAAAATGAAAATGTATAATTAGAGCCTATATTTTTATCTGATAATGTGCTAGATTGCTACTTTTCAGCTTATATGACATCGTGGAAGGAATAAAGACATACAGTATGTATTTAAACATCACTGAAACAAGAATTTGGCAATCTGTGTATTGTGGGCCTGTCTCACATGGAGCTTTTTGAGTTCAGACTCAGCCTGTTGAAATGACCTGACTTTTTTTTTTTTTTTTTTTTTTTTTTTTTTTGGTTTTTGGAGACAGGGTTTCTCTGTGTAGCTTTGGAGCCTGTCCTGGAACTCACTCTGTAGACTCGAAAGTGCTGGGATAAAAGGCGTGTGCCACCACCACCTGGCTACCCTGACTTCTTTAATCTTGACTCCTGTGACTATCAGGAGTATTTTATCTGAAAAATAAAATACTCCTGATACTCAGGAAAAACTATTTTGCCACTTTTTCTTGTTATCATCAGATAGAAAGGGGGGCTCAAATAATGAATTATAAAGCATTTCTCCTAAGCTTAGATTTGATAGCAAATCTAACAATGACCAAAAGAAGCTGTAAATATTCTGCAGCAGTGAATGGCATTCTACCATAGTGTGAAGTACTATGTGGCATGCTCCAGGAACAATCTAGATGTCCTAAGGGGAAAGTTGGAGTCAGTGACTTCTGTCCTCAGTCACAGATGTACCAGCCCTCCCATAACACCTGCTGTGTTTATTCCTCTCCATGCAGAACCATTCTGATCAATGCAAACGGCAAATGGCCTTTACTAATGTGTCAGACAGTTGGAGAGTGTGCTTCTGACAAACCTAGATTTTTCTAGAAATAGTTTCCATCGTGAAATGCTTTGCAGCTGGCAAAATTATCTTTCAAATGGCCGTAGTAGAAAAGGCTTTTAGAAGTTACATAACTATCTAAAAACAATGAGAAGAAACCTAGACTCTTGCCTTCCTGCTTTATGATTTCTGTTGGATTAAGGACCTAAACATAAAAACAAAGCCACAAAGGTGTTAGGAAATGGTTGTTTCAGAGAAGCTGAGAATGAGAAAGCCCTGCCAACTAAGACACAAATCCTAAAAAGCACAAAGAAAGGGATTTGACTACATAAAACTTTAGAATGTCTTCATGATTAGCCACTGTAAAACGAAGTCAAAAGAGACGTTAAAAAGTAGGAAAATCAACAAATAAGACAAATGGGCCGTTTCTTTAGTTGAAAGTGATTATTTCAAGTCCGCAAATAAGTAGCAACCCAGTAGGAAGTGGGTAATGGATATGACAGGCGATAATAGAAATTAAAATGCAAATAACAAAACTGAGAGGAAGAAGCCAGCTTTCCGTCATGGTTAAATAAACGAGAGTTAGAAAGTAATTGCCTCTCTATCTGGCATTGCTGGTGTTGGAGCAGTTTGGGATGTCCCATTTGCAGGGCATTTCGGCACCATATCTGGCCTTTACCATGTGCATTTATAGAAAATTAGCCCACGTGCAAAGCTGTACCAAGGGACAGGGCCCACCGTGTGTGCAGCTTTGCTTGTGACAGCAGAAGATTGGACTCACCCAGTTGCCAGCCACAAAGCGCCGTGCGGTTGATTGTGGGATTGTTTGCAGCTGTGGAAAGGGTAACAGTTTTGCAGGTGCTGATGTGGACTGTCGGTAAAATGTGCTTCTGAGCAAAGAAGTCTGCTTTAGAAAAGTATGTTTAGTATGCTTCTACTTGGAAAACCACGGCAGAGGTGTATATGACAGCTTTGGCGAGGACTGTTCCTAGAAGAAGCCATTGCTGCCGATGTCTCTGGGGAGGGAGCGGAGACACTGTAGGTCTGGAGGGAAGAAAACATCCAGGTCCTGTTTTATGTTCTTTCCTACTATTGGGAATATTCTGCCACATGTGCATATCTCTTAGGGTGCTTTCTATTGCTGTGATAAACACAATGACCCAAAGCAGCTTGGGGAGGAGAGGGCTGATTTCATGTTACAATTTACAGTCCATTACTGAGGGAAATCAGGGCAGGAACTCTAGGCAGGAACCTGGAGCAGGAGCTGCTGCAGAGGCCACAGAGGAAGACTGCTTACTGGCTTGCTCCCCATGGCCTGCTCAGTCTGGTTTCTTACAACATCCAGGACCATCTGCCCAGGCATGGCACCAACTCCCGTGGGCTGGGACCTCCCACATTAATCAAGAAAAGGGCCCACAGACTTGTTTGTAGGCAATCTGATAGAGGCATTTGATCTAAAACTGAGGTTCTTCCTCCTAAATGACTCTAGCTTGTGTCAAGTTGACAAAGAAAAACAAAAATCCAGGGCAGTGTATGTGCATTACCTTTTTGACTAAGTGAAACTGAAGTGTTTACTAAATGTCAGTGGAAAAACCAACTCTTACCTCAAAGAGGATAAGAGAGAACTTTTCCTGGAGCCAGTATGAACCTGTAGATTCAGGTTACCACAAATTCTGTGTGCAGAACAGAGAAATGGTCAATCAAGACACTTTTCAAATACATCAATGGAGACATCTGGTAGGTAGTTCACAGAAATCTCACTGTGGGCCTCAGGTGCCCTAGGACAGCATTCTTAGCCTTTTGGTTGGTGGGAACTAGTAGTCTGTACATTCCTGGGGATTTACCTAATGGTCACAAAGCTATTAGGTCACATACAAAACAGGGCAATTAAGGGGCCTAAAGGCGGCCCAAGGTAATTTGTCTTTGGACTAGAAACATCGCATTCTCTCAGGTCATGTTCTAATTAATCTGCCTTGTACAGGGTCATAGTAAGGGGTGTTTTTGGACCTTTTATTCCCACTTACCCCTGTTGATCAAGCACCATATTTTGTGCGTCTGGACTATGAATAATGGGGGGGGGTTATATGTAAATTTTCCCAGTGTAGAAATATGAATCATTTGATAAAAAAATGAGCAATATGAACATTTAAGAAATAAGATTCTTTTCTATAAAATGTGTAAAATTAAGGTTTCCCTAATTAGTGTCTTTAAAAATAAATTCTAGAAACTACCTGTTTACTAATATTCTAGATCCTTGGTCCCCACCCCGGTGCT